GGCTATTGAAACGCATAGCATGCCAAGGCTCACGTGTGCACAACGTCATGAGGCCATTGGGATCGTCCGTGGGGGAATGACTCAACGACAAGTGGCTGCACATTTCCACTGCCACCGGAACACCATTTCTGGACTGGTGAGCCGCTACCAGAACACAAATGACGTCATCGATCGGCCACGTTCTGGACGTCCACGTGTAACAACGCCAAGACAGGACAGATGGATAAGAGTGACCCATCTTCGCCACAGGTTTCAGACTGCAGTGATGACTGCCCGAACCATCCCAGGAATTCGCCGTATCCACCCCAACACAGTTCGACAACGTTTACGTCATTACGGGATCAGACCACGACGTCCCGCCATACGGCCTATCTTGACACAACGTCATCGACAAGCTCGCCGAATGTGGTGCCGAAATCATGTCCGCAGACCCTTGTTTTTGTGGAGAAATGTCCAGGTTTAACATTTCCCATAGTGATGGACGTCAACGTGCCTATAGACGCGTGGGAGAACGTTATTCACAGGCCTGTGTCTTGGAGAGGAATCGCTTTAGTTGTGGTTCCGTGATGATTTAGGGTGGAATAACAGCACGCCAAAGAACTCCTTTTGTGATTGTTTAGGGCAACTTAACTGGTGTGGGCTACAGGGATCAGATTCTTCGACCTGTGGCAATTCCTTTTCCGCAACGTCATGGCCCTGAGTTAACATTCCAACAGGACAATACCCGCCCTCATACGGCAAGGGTTGCTATGGATTTCTTGCAACACCACAACGTTGACTTACTGCCTTGGCCTGCATATTCACCGGATCTCTCCCCGATAGAGCATGTTTGGAACGAGATGGATCGACGTCTTTCTCATCCGCCAGATAACGTCTTTGACCTTGCAACAGAACCTGAGAGAATCTGGCGTGACATCCCACAAGCCTTCCTTGCACGTTTGATAGGCTCTATGCGTCCTCGATGCACTGCTGTTCTCAATGCCGATGGTGGACATACCCGTTATTGAGCTTGTGACATGGTCGTGTGACCCCTGTCCCGCTTGTGGACTTGTGACGTCATTGTGATTGACTTTTCAATTGAAATTCTCCCGACTTGTTATGGTCTTATATCCCTCCATTAAAGTTTATATGTACCTTTGACATTGTTATCGTACTTATCAACTGGGATAATATTTTCACAATGCACAGTTTCTTTATGTGGCTTGTATATTTTGGATTGGGCTTCTGGTAACTTTTAGGTCTTGGGCATAGTTTTAAATGTTAATTTGAACGATCTCTGGGTTATCAACACTAGAAAAAGAATGACTTTGATATCGAACATTTTAGGAAACTGGGGAAGAAGAAATATAACTCTTATTAGAAAAATTACAGTTATACAAACTCTAGCTCTCTCCTCCTTGGTTCATATCTTTACAGCTCTACCTAATCCACCAAAAGTTTTTATTAAGGACTTAGAGCAAATGTTCTTTTCTTTTTTATGGAATGAGAAACCTGACAAAATAAAAAGAGTAACATTGAAAAAGGACTACCGGGAAGGGGGAATTAGGATGACAGATATCCTTTCTTTCATTGATTCACTTAAAATAGCAGCATTGAAGAGATGCCTCTGTAGAGCTACCTGCAACAATCCCTATAATGTCCCTATTATATCATTGCTCCATTTAAGAGCTAATATTGATCTATCTAAGGAAAGTGATAACCTTTATTGGAAAGATGTTTTTCAGGCATGGAAGAGGTACAGATCTTCCTTCAGAGTTGACCAATGTGATTATCAGAAAATACTTCTTGAACCGTTGTGGCTAAACCATCATTTTTGAAACCCTTCTCTTTTTATTCATAATTGGTTCAATAAGGGTGTGACCGAGATTAAAGACATATGTAACTCTGACGGGCTATTATCCTTTGATGAGTTTAAAAATAGATTCTTAGTTAAAGGTACTTTTTTAGATTACAACAGAGTTTTGAGTGATGTCCCCATTACTTGGAAAGCCACAATAAGCAATCATAAACTTGAAAATGAAAATCTTGGTATTAATGAAGTGATATTAACTCTGCTTACACCCTCTAAAGATTGTAGAATATTTTATGATAAATTGATCAAAACAGATAGATTGCCTGATGTTTGCAGAAAATGGGAAGTTTTGACAAATATTACTTTACCTTGGGATGACATCTTCTTAAATTATAGAAAGTGTACAAACGATATTTAACTCTTAGACTTTCAGTACTGATTCATTCACAAAGTTATTTATACAAGAAAAGAATTAGTAAAGATTAACATAATAGATAATGATCGCTGTACTTTCTGTAAAAAAAATATCTGAAAACATTGTACATGTGTATGCTTTATGTGATATTGTTCAGACATTCTGGAAAGATTTAAGTTTATATATTAAACATACTGTCAATATTAATATCTTATTCACTGACTTTGCAATATTGTTGGGGATTAACACTGGCTATCCTTTTATTATTAATATTATTCTTGCTGGAAAAAGGTTCATATACCTAGCAGTATAAATGACAGAAAACCGACTTTGGACAAATTTCTAAATTCGCTAAAAAATCTTCTATCAATTGAAAGATATATAGCTAGACAAAATAACAACATGGCAAAGTTCCAAAGGAAATGGCCCAAGGAATTGAAATTATAATATCAATTTATATCTGTAGCCTGACTATACTTTCTCTTATAAGCACTTTTTATTATACTTGTAATACTAGACTATATTGTTTGTTTTGCCAATGTTGTTATTTCATTATATAACATTGAACACTAGACAAATAATAACACAGCAAAGTCACAAGGTAACGGCCCAAGGAATTGAAACAATATCATTCCCTGACTATACCTTCTCTTACAAGTGTATTATGCACTACCTAATATAAGTGTACCACGCTATTGTATCTATTTTGCTTGACTATAATGTTTACTACGCCAACATTGTTATTTCATTGTACCATATTCACCACAGAAGTAATGCCCAAAGAACTGTAATAATATCCTTAGCCTGACAATACTTTCTCTTATAAGTGTATCATGCACTACCTATTGTATGGGTTATGCTAAACTAAAATGTTTGCTATGCCAACATTGATATTCCATTATATTACTTTCACCATAAAAAAACATGTAGCCTGAACATACCTTCTCATGTAAGTGTACTACGCATTACTTGCTGTATGTGTCATGCTAGTCTATATTGCTTTCTGTTTCATCAAACCATACTTATATGCTTCTGTATATGCTCCACTGAAATGAATAAAAATATTGAAGAAAAAAAATTGACTCTACTTCATAGTTTTCTGTTGAATCAATGGTTTGATCCTTAGCAAAGTGTGAATAGCATATATGTCGTATCCGTTGTATTGTTCAGTGCACTTCCATGTGTAGAAGCGCTCAGGCAATCATAAGGACACTGATCATTACTGACCCACCCACCCACCAGACCTGTTAACTTATATAGAACAAACTTTATGGATAACAACTTCTTTTTATTCGTGAGTGCGACGTTTCGATACAGATTCTTGTACCGTTGTCAAGCATAATGGAACATGAAGAAGGGGGAAGTATATATATACTGGTTGTAACAATGTAACAAAGAAAACAACATAATTAACATAATAGGCTAGGCAGAAAGCTGATGAAGCCAGAGAGTAGACAAAGCCTATTATGTTAATTATGTTGTTTTCTGTATCGAAACGTCGCACTCACGAATAAAAAGTTGTTATCCATAAAGTTTGTTCTATATTGTACTTCCAAACTTCTAAAATGCCACTCAAAGAAGTTGTCTGTTAACTTATATTGACGTTTGCATGATGTTAGTTAGTTAGGTAACCAAGAGTCAACTACATGCCTAACCAGAAAGTCCAGAGTGAATCTGGATTCATCTGAAGACTAGGGCGATTCAGCTACTTTCCACGCTCTGAACACCATTGGCATCTCTCTAGAATGTGTGGATTTCTCAACAATGGTACACCATAACGTCACTGAACATCAAGGTCTTTGCTGACGGTTTCTCATAGTCATGTCAGGACCTGTACTTCGGTGGCGCAAATGAGCGTCTGAGTGAGTATGTTTTTCAGCTGCTTTTTAGCAGTGTTCCAGCAATATTACGGCACAGACACCAAAAATTGGCTTCGCACATTGTATCCATGGCGACAATAAATTGATTGTTTGCGCCATGTTTCTGATAGATCAATCGGTACTGGACCTATGCTGTTTACCTACTGCGGACCACGAACATTTTGTGTCTCTTAACTTGTTCCCACGGCTGAAACACATTGGCTACGTCTCGTCTTGTTCTACCAGCCTAGTGGTTAAAACTTTTGCTCGTCACGCCGAAGACCCGGGTTCGATTCCCCACATGGGTACAATGTGTGAAGCCCATTTCTGGTGTCCCCTGCCGTGATATTGCTGGAATATTGCTAAAAGCGACGTAGAACTAAACTCACTCACTCGCTCACTCACTGTACCAGTAACAAACAGCCAGAAGCCATTTGGCGTTCAGTCCGTTGTGGACTGCAGATCCATAATACTAACGACTCCGAGAGATTTGACCTTTGTGTAAAATTAATCAAGAATAACCCCCTTACTCATGGTCGACGTGCACTGTTTTGGGATAGGTGTTATAACCGCTTCGAAACTAAAACCTATCTCTGTCAGTCATTGTCCAATGCTTTCCTTTCTGCAAACGAATGACACTTAAATTTAGCATTTATATTTCATGATCAACTACGTTTTGAAGATTGTATGTCATTCTATATCGAGCACTGTGAGATGCAGTCTGTAAGCTTTTAGGACTGAGCGAGAACGATGAACATCATTCGCTGTTTCTGTGTGATACTTAGCGTTGTGTCCATCACATTGCCCTTTGACATAGCAGACATGTTTGATGGTTTGACGAAAAAAGCTTTGAAAAAACAAGGCAAAAGCCATCTTCACTGTATTAACGAATGTATCAGACGAGCATCTTGCACTCAAGTAGCCTCAGTCACAAGTAAAGTTCTTGGACCCTATCAGTGCCTCCTGGAGGGTACAAATACTTCGATGGATCACAACCTCAACGGCTGTGACAAGGTATTCGTAATGAGCACCATACCAAAGGTGAGTCGTATCACAGCTTACGAAATAACTACTGACTCGCTAGCCAAATGCTAGGTGATTGCGAATCGGGTCAGTAATAAACCGTTAAAGCTATCCCGACTGGCTAGCTGAAAATCTCATATAATTTGTTCTTTATTTAATGCACATGGATATGATGAAGTCAATTATGAAGGTGTTAAAAGTCCGTTCGCAAAAGTTTCGTGATATGCGTATTATCACTTGTCTCACGAGGATCGCTATATAAAAATGTAAATAGCGTTGGGCAAAAGAGGTTAGAAACCATTACAATACAAATGTAACGTTTAACATCTGCTATTACCATACATCACACCAATTCTGAGCAATGAGCATTTTGATATTGATATTTTGCAGGGCAAGTGAAGTATGATATGGGCTAGCAACACTTAATGTAACTGGCCCTCCTGGCCACTGACTTCAAAATTTATTCATACACTGAGTCGTATCGCCAGGGACCTTTCTGGACTACAGGTGTCCTATAAGCTAATGAATGGTATGGCATGTCCGTTTTGGCTTCGTTATCAGGGGACTAGATCGAGAGGAAAAAGCATTTTCGTGGGTGTACTATGGGAGTACACTTGAAATAACGAAAGAGAAAGGTTTGGGCCCATGTTCGAGTTATGTGGACTGTGAAATTTGTACTAAATCGGTAGTCCTTGTGAGGCAAATAAAGTGTGAAGCGATGACCAACATTTTTAAATCGATCATATGAACAGGTTGTAAAAGCAATACATTTTGAGGCATGATAGTATTGGCAGCAGATTCTAAAAATGTTCTTTGGATCTGGTACTATTCCATACTTTCGGTTGTGAAAAATTGTCTGTTTAATAAGACGCCAAATAATATTCAAAGGATCATTTCGATTTTCCTTTCATCCAAATAGTATGATTTGTGGAGTGAGTTTAATCCTTATTCCAGCATCAGACATGAGACCTCTTCAATTTTCTTCCAAAATCTATGTATCAAATTACAATCCAAAAAAAGGTGGAAAATGGTTTCATTAGAAGTATTACAATAGCTGCACAGTGATGAGTCACTGACTTTTATTTTATGTAAATAGTAATTTGTGCCTAAAATATTGTTAATAATTTTCATTTGGAACCATCGTAATTCCGTACTCTGTGTACATCTAAATGGTATAATGTTATACGTTCTCCAATCTGATTCATCAAGTTAGATTCAAGTATGGTTTCCCATTTTAAATTTGAGGTTGATTTCTTGAATATTGACGGGAGAAGAGTGATAAAAAAGAACTTGCTACCCTTATCAAAACCCAACAGTTTATTAATGTAATAAGGCACTATAGGCAATTCTAATGATAAGTGATCTGAGATAAGAAGTTGGCATTGCACTGAAATGTAGCTACAAATTCAATAAAATCTAAATATTTTCCATAATTATCCAGTAAACCTTTAACCGACCTCATTCCTTTCTTGTACCAATCTGAGTAAAAAGGTGTTACCAATAATTAGTTTGTTGTTGAACCACAAAGGAAATGTCAGAAATTCCTCTACACTTGGTGATGGTTGCAATAAGGTTCCAATGTAATCTGCCCAAGCCATAAGTACATCGCTCCAAAAAAGATTATTCATGGTGTCGGCATATTCTCTTATTTGACTTGGGCCAATTTCAAAGAAACTTACTGGTAACGGGGGGTAGATTAACAAACAAACGATTTTGGAGGTTTGAGTCTTTTGTCAAGATTCTTTTCACCCACTGTGACTGGATTGTTTTAAAGATATGTGGTACTTTAATTCCTTCATCTTTATGTGTACAGTACATTTTCTCTCTCTTTATTTTGTCAGTCTTTCCACCGCAAATATATTGAAAACAGTTGTGCTTGATGTTATTCAATAATCTTATGTTGCAACAAAAGCCAGACGAGACTACTAATCAATATGCATGATTCGTACCACAAGTTGAACACAAATACTTGGTTCCAATTGGTTTACACACAGAGTAATAATATAAGCTTACAGACGTATGTAGTGTTGATCGGTTTGGTGTAGTGCGGGAAAGAGCAATCGGTGATGGAAATATTTTGTTATTCGTACTATTTATGTGGGGTACAATGCGATAGATATGTGATGAAAATGATGAAGGGCATTGTAACTTGCAAAAATGTATGTCATCATTGAGTGCGTCGTTTAAGTAGTTTTATTTTTATAAACAGGCGGACAATAACACTATCGGGTCCTGCCTGATGGAAAGAACTCAGCACTGTTACGAGATATCTTTCTTTTCTTTAACTGCCGATGAGTTTTCAGTACATTGAGAAGGAAAACATCTGATTAAATTGAAATTAAAATATGATTGACAAGTTTTATCCGATTTGAAGTGGTTGTCTAGATGTCAAATTGAAAGTTTGTAGAAGTCGCGGTGACTGAGTGGGTTGGATCTCTGACTTTGTGATCGGGACTCCACCCTCTGATTGCTGATGATAAACAAAGTTTCACTTTGAAGGGGTTTGTAAACATACAGCCCATGAGTATGTGAAGACATGCTTCCCTATCATATCTTGAAAAGCGGCATATCTGCCTGGCCGTTCAAGGGTATATAACTTGTGAATATGCCATCCGTATGCCATCCATACACGCGGCCATAAAATTGCGAGAAGACTTTCATGAAGACTGTGATGGCAGATAGTGGGTACGCATACAGCAAGCATGTCATTCAAGGTCATTGAGCGTCAGCTTGGCTGCTCCTGCTCTGTCACCAGTGGACTTATCCGGAAACACCAAAATACAGGCGCTGCCAAGGATCGACCAAAGCAAAGGCAACCAAGGCAGACCACTCCAGATGAGGATCGCCTTCTGAACCCTTTGCCTCGAGCACTCGTTTAAAGCTATGGATGCCCAACACAGGTTTTTCAACCAAGACCATGCGTGACCGTCTCAAGGCTCTTGGTTTGAAGGGTTTTAGACGTCCATCTCTGACTCATGAACATCAAAGGCAATGTGGTCTTTTGCTCGACGGCGCTGGAATCCTGGTCTGGAGACGGATCCATTTGTTAGACGAAAGCAGGTTTCTGCTTCATGTTACGTCTGGTCGTCTGAGGGTTTGGAGGTGCATTTCCACTGCTGAAGTACCGAGAAGCATTCACCCTAATGTTCCCTTTTGTGGAATCTCAGTTATGATATGGGGATGTGTCTCACATAACTGTTAGTTGACATTGGTGACTGGGCGCTACATCACGGACATTCTTGATCAAGTTTTTGTGCCTCATTTTGATAACCATCCATTTTCTACCCGTCCCATATTCATGGACAACAACGCTACGCCACACCGTTCCCCAGCTGTACATGTGGGAGAGTTCATATTATGGAAACTCTCCTTTGGCCTGCAAAGAGCTTGATCTGAGCCCCATCCAGCACATCTGGCATTCTTGGTCATCGTTTGTAGGCACGTGACGGGTACACGTGATACTTATGTCAGGCCCCTCGCTAGATTTCAAGGGGTCTATACAGACAGCGAGATCTCATCATGTGTCGAACCAGGACAATGGTTATTCCATGAACTGCTTTTCCACAAAATCAACAGTGTTGGCATTTCTTACTTACAGAGCATACAAATTCAGATATTGTCTAGATTTTGTTGTTTTTCTGTAGCCAATTATTCAATCTTCCTTCAGATAATCAGGCCTCACTACCCTCCTGGGAGTTTGAAAGTTCTGACACCTTTCTGTTCATATCACTGTTCTAAAATAGAGGGAGTGTTTAATTTGATTAAGTTCAATGTGTATGTAACATATGTTAGCAAAGCAAATGTTTAGCTAAAATAATTAGGCCACCCCACTAACGGGCTGCTGTTTTCTGACTGGCTGAGAAAAGAGGCTGGTGTTGCATAATTCACTGAATTTGTATTGTTGTCTTCAGTGTTTGTATTAATGATTAAATACTCGGCAAAGTTGTAATTTTTAAAGTTTTTATTAGTGATTAAAGAATTTAGTCCAATAGGTTTCATTTTTAAAGTAAAAATAATATAAACATTCGAATGAGCGGATTTTCCCAGCATGCGTTTATATCTCTATACAAACAAATTGCAATAGGGCCTATAATGCCTTGCGAGGCGCTATTTCCGGTACAAACTTGGTTCCTGGCTCCCTTTGCGCGAGCCAACTTGCGATGAGAGACGGGGCCGAGCCTGTTTTCCGGTACCTGATTTCCCGTGACAAGCGTACATTCAAGAACGAATTCTGATTCCGAATTGCGCGACCGCCAAATATGACTTTACTAGACAGGACTAAGTGTACAATCATGCTTGGCTGTAACAGCTATTGACAGTCGTAATAGTTGGCTATATTGGGCATTTTTTTATCAGAAATTCGTTATTCCTGCAAAGAGTATCGGTTCCTTAATGTCAACTGACAACCATGAGAACAGTCGAAAAGGTACGAAACGTTGTCACCGGAAGTGCTAAGGTCTCGCGAAGTACCGTGACCTACTTACGGGCCCTATCAGTTTTAATATGGAACTCTTTTTGCAGGTTATCGGAGGTGCCTGTCAAGATCACAAGTGTGGCTTTGACGAGCTATGTGTCCCTGCTAGACTTGGATACAAATGTCTGAAAAGCAAATAGGGGTTTCAAGTAAGACGTCACTTACGTTGAATATGTGTTATGTAAATTCATGGCTGAATAATATATAATGGCTAACATCTGAAGTGATGGTGTATATCGAGCTAGGGTTCATGCAGAAAGCAAAAGTATTGGTCCCCGTGGTATTTGATATGGTGATGTACCATCAGCTGTGATCCCAACTGCGCAGATCGATGCTCATGTTGTTTATCACAAGATTGTCTGATCGAGCCTCGATTATTTTCAGACCGCTGAAATATAGCTGGAATACTCCTGAGTGAGGCGTTAAACAACAATCGTCCAACCAACTTTCAGTTGTTAACGATCTATAGCCCGTTTAAATATTGTGTTGTTGTGTATGGTGACGTAGTTGTGTTGTTGTTACATGCCAATTTTATGTGTAAATCTGCGATATTCTAGTTATTTACTGTCCTTTTCTGTCAGCTTTGACTCACTCACAAACACGTCACTTCGAGACAAAGGAAACATGGTTTACGTTCAGTTTCGTTGGTGATAAAGAAACATATTAAACAAACAAACAAGAAACTAAAATAACAAGCAAATGCAGTATTCAATCTACATGTAAGGACATCGGACATTGGAATCTCTAATACTCCTTCGTTTAAACTCCCAAACGAAGAGTGAGTGAGTTTAGTTTTACGCCGCACTTCGCAATATCCCAGCTATATGGCAGCGGTCTGAAAATAATCGAGTCTGGACCAGACAATCCATTGATCGACAGCATGAGCATCGATCTGCGCAATTGGGAACCGATGACATGTGTCAACCAAGTCAGCGAAACTGACCACCTGATCCCGTTTGTCGCCTCTTACGACAAGCATAGTCGCCTTTTATGGCAAGCACATGGGTTCCTGAAGACCTATTCTATCCCGGATCTTCACGGGTCGTCAAGGCAGGGGACACGGTAACTTGTAACGCTTTAACCAGTAGGCCACCCCAAAGGCCTGCACAAGCATGAAGCAGTATTCTTGTTTAAAAGCTAATACAGCTGTACTCTGTCTTCCCACATTCATTCATTCATTACATGCATAATACAGCTGATCATTTTATCAGATTGTTCTTACAATTCAGAAGATCGATTCTTATGCTGTTGATCACAGGAGTGTCTGGTCCAGATTCGATTATTTACAGACCGCCGTCATATTGCTGGAGTGCGGCGTTAAACTACAAACAAACACAACCTTTGAAAACAAATGGTCTTAAGTTTATAATGTTTTTCATGTTTCAGGTATCGAGGGCAGAATCCTAAAAGGGAGGAAGACGCTCGAATCCATGACGAATTGATATGCTTGACATAACCTGTTTTAATCTGACTCATACTTGCTTGACAACAATACAAGAATCTGCATCGTCACATCATCCGAATAAAGAAGTTGTTCATCCATAAAGTTTTTCCTTATCTAACGCAAGGGTATTCCTTGCCATCTGTCTACGGGATCGGGATCAATCTAACTGTATACTCTAGCAACCAAATACAGTTAACACCCATATCATCTTGCTTAAAAAAATTTAATTCGTCTTGTACATTGGCTTCTCAACTTATGTAATTTGTTGTTCTTGCTCTCAACGTGACCTCTTCTAATCATTTGTTGTTTGTTATTAATTAGTGATAATATGCTTCTTGGCACAGCATGCTACGAATTATACTTCTCATCACCAGGTTGTAGTGAATGTTACCTTGATAACGGTGTAAGCATCTATTTATAAACGTCCCTCTAGTACATAAACAAACAGTTGTAAACAAACAGTCGTTTGTTTTGTTTTTGACTCTCCATCTTCTAGCACCCGTGAAAGTCCGGGTTAGAATATCGGCCTTCAGTAAGCCATGCTTCTCGTAAGAGGTGACTAATGGGATCTGGTGGTCAGGCTCGCTGACTTGGTTGACACATGTCATCGGTTCCCAATTGCCCAGATCGATGATCATGCTGTTGATCACTGGATTGTCTGGTCCAGACTTGATTATTTACAGACCGCTGCCATATAGCTGGGATATTTCTGAGTGCGGCGTAAAACTCAACTCACTCACTCCATCTTCTAGAATACTGAGCAAACAATTAACAATATTCTTAGGGTTGTGTTCAGCTCAGTATGGTTTCAACTCAGCCAGACGTCGATATTCGTGACAATTTGGAAATCGTGTCATGGAACAGTCACCGAAACTGGCTTGGGACTATTTAAAAACACTCAACTTTCCCAAACCATCCCATGACGCGTGACTACCTAGAAATACTTGTTACCACTGCAGGCATTGTTTGAAGCTCATTGAAAAAAATAATGCTTTTCTATGTTTCTACGTTTTTATGGAGTAGTCGTGCCAAAGCATGAAACCATAATTGCTGAATTACATCCCTAATCATTATCAAAGAATATACTGGTGAATAGGTGCTTCATAGATGACGAACGTGGAAATACAATGAAATACAATTTCGAGGGGAAATGAAAGGTGAAAGTGAAATATTTAGCATCTGTAAGACTATACGTCTCAAGACTGTGAGTTAACCCAATGACATTCTCGCTGTTGCATCAACATCTATATGTATGGGGCGGAAGTGGTCCTGAGGCTAAATCGATGACGACAAAGAAGATGGAGCTGAGATACTTTTCTTCTACCTCTGTTCTCATTCTGGCAGTTCTAGTTAATGAAACATCTAGTTACAGTTTTGAGGAAGCCATGTTAGGGTTGACACAAAAGGCAACGAAGAAAAGTTCTTCAAGCCCTCTCCACTGCATCAACGAATGCCTCAGGAGAGCTTGCTGTACGGAAGTTGGGTACACTGAAACTAAGGTCGGCCTCAAGTCGTATTCCTGCATGTTTAAGTGCAACAACTCTACACAGATGGTCGACCCGGGAGTGTGTGAGTCCAGGCTGGTTCTTATACATAAGATTCCGACGGTATGTTCTTTGTTTTCGTGTTGTTTTATTTGTTGTTTAACACCGCTGAAAGCGACCAGTTGATATGAGCGCCGGGCTGTGTGCAAGATGACCGCTTTGGTCACCAGAAGAGGTTGGTTTTGTTTTGTTTGTTGTTAAAGACCGCTGAAAGCGACCAGTTGATATGAGCACCGGGTTGTGTGCAAGATGACCGCTTTGGTCACCAGAAGAGGTTGGTTTTGTTTTGTTTGTTGTTAAAGACCGCTGAAAGCGACCGTTGAATGAGCGCCGGGTTGTGTGCAAGATGGCCGCTTTGGTCACCAGAAGAGGTTGATATGAAAGCGACCAGTTGATATGAGCACCGGGTTGTGTGCAAGATGGCCGCTTTGGTCACCAGAAGAGGTTGGTTTTGCTTTGTTTGTTGTTCAGTGCCACGCTCAGCAATATTCCAGCTATATGGCTGTCGTCTGTAAATAATCAAATCTTGCCCGGACAATCCAGTGATCAACAGCATGAGCATCAATTGAAACTGAGATACAATCACTTGTATCGACCAAGTCAGCGAGATTGACCACCCAATTCCGTTAGTAGCCCCTTGCGCCAAGCGTAGGTTGCTGAAGAGTAATTTTAACCCGGATCTTTACGGGTATTTACGTGATGTACGTTTAAGATAACTAGCGCAACGTGATTCTGTTACATCCATAAACAACAGCTTACAAATCAAACAATGCGTAGTACGGTCCTGTTTAAGGGATTAGCTGATTATTTACTTTTTCACTTTTTTACTTGTCCCCTAGATTTAATCCACATAGACAGAATTGACTTGTCACTCAAAGTAAAGAAGTTGACATGCATACATTCTTGCCTTGTTTCGTTTTAGCTTGTCTGCCTTAGTGCCTCATTATTTATGTCTTTGTCGTCATAATCGATGCTTCTTCCATTCATTGCCTCCACTGGGGGCTTTGTTTCATCCACTGACACCTGTCTGCTGACATCGGTTATCTCCCTTTCTTCAGACAGTCATTCTTCAGACAGCTAAAAACAAAAACATTTACGGTCTAATGCACAGCAATTAATTTGATCATGTCACTGACTCAAGAAGGACTTAAGGATATTTATGTGCAGACACGGTTTGAATCGCTGACTCTATCAAACAAATGTTTCAATTACAAACTTTCTAAAGCGCAAATAAGTTTGGAGTGGTAAGATAACAGTAAAGAAGTTCCGAGTTGCTTTATCACGTTTTTGATGTTCATCTCATGATTTATTTATAGAGACTGGACGCTATACTGATATTAATCGACAAGAGAGACTATGCCAACTATGTGATTTAAATACTGTCGAGGATGAGTACCATTCCTTCTTGTCTGTCCGCTGTACTCAGATCTTAGAAGAAAATATTTACCCAATCATTTTTATAGATATCCAAACATTATTAAATATATATATCATTACTAACACGTACAAGAATTTAAATACTTCAGAATTTATCAATGTTTATATTCCATGCAACATTGCAAAGAAAGAAAAATAATAATATTTGAAAAAATGTATAAGTTATACTCGGGCGATATAAATGTATGCATGTTTTATGTACTGTAGGCATGTGGCCTCTTCAGTACGGAATAAAAGGTTGAATCTAGGTTTAAAAATCTCTCTACTCTCCTGAGCACTGAGTTGGCTAATTAAGCTGTTCCTATATTGCTATGGGGTGAGGGTAATTACTCAAGTGTCTGAAGAATGGCTGTCTAAAGAATGGGAGGACACCCTGACATCCCTTCCAATCCACCCTTGAAGATCCGGGTTAGAATCGGGCTTCAACAACCCATGCTTGTCGTAAGAGGCGACTAACGGGATCGGATGGTCAGACTCGCTGACTTGGTTGGCATGTGTCATCGTATCCAAATTGTGTAGATCGATGCTCATGCTGTTGATCATTGGGTCGTCTGGTCCAGACTCGATTATTTACCTTGTCAATAACTGATCTTACAAAACTCATGTGACGTCATCCCGTTGTAATCGACCATGCTAAAACCTCTTGGTAAGACCAGTGGACACCTCCATTTGAACTTTCGGTTCATTCCTGCGGTGTAGATAGAACGAATGGGAGTGCTTACTTTACAGATAGAACGTTTAGTGGTTCTTTCTTCGTAGATAGAACTACTAAAGATAGAACTGTCAGCCGCATCGCCCATGGATCAAAAAGCTTCACTGCAGCCTCTCTTTCAGTCTCAAAAACATGTTGCAAAAAGAACAAAGTCAAGGACCATGAATGGTTTATTCATCTCAAATTTACAGGTTTATGTTAAAAACAAGCGAAATCGGACGTTTCTTGCTTTGAGCGCCTGATTTCTCCTCAGGACGCACTAATGCAACACTTGCATCAGTAGATTGAGTTGTTTCCCTTGCCGATTCGAATTCTTCCACGCGGGAGACTGTTGCTGAAGGGGTGTTCACTCGCGGCTTCAAGTAGAAGGCATCTTGCTTCAAATTCTGTGGGCTGAAAAGAAACCGAATAATATCACATTGTATTGTAGGTCCAATTGTGCAGACAATAGTTATTTATAACAATGATGAAAACAAATCTGATAATACTAAGTAGTGTATGCTTATACGATATCTCATAGTGTACGGACTTGGTAGTTTTTCTGAAATAGTTTGTTTTATGGACAAAATAAAATAAGGGTATTGAACAAACATTGTGAACCATATTTAACTCGGTAAATGAGGTACAATTTGTAGTTTTACGTTATATTATCTTATCTTTTATAAATTGTCAATGTTCGCGAGTTCTATCTGTACTACCCCGCTCTTTCCCCGTTCTTTCTACGGGCATGCTTGTCGTAAGAGGCGACTAACGGGATCGGGTGGTCAGGTTCGCTGACTTGGTTGACGCATGTTATCGGTTTCCAATTGCGCAGATCGATGCTCATGCTGTAGATCACTAGATTGTCTGGTCCAGACTCGATTATTTTCACTTACCCCGTTCTTTCTACAGCTTGTTCAGCTTTACCTGATCAAGTGAATACTATTGAATTGCGTGACCGTGTCACAACTGGTTGGGTCTATTACTGTGAAGGGGTGCACCTTTGTCAGGTGATTGGTGTAAACGAGTGGACTGATTGTTGTGCCCATGTTAAAAAATTGGAAAGCGACTACTGGGACAGAAATATTGCAGTTGAACATGAAATAGAAAACGTGATACTTGAACTGGGTGTAGAGAGTGATAGCGAGAGTAAATCGGATTGTGAAAGTAACTGACGTCTGTAAGTTGTAAAGTTAGCAAACCAAACTAGATAGCATATGACTGTATAAACAATTCAATTAAAACTTGACATGATTGGGGTTTTTTCAGAAGTGTTGTTTTCCGGGACAAGTTCTGTAACGAATCTATGTATGCATGCTTCGCACGAAAGCAACATTAATAACATTCCCTGCACCCCTATTTAATGGAGATAACCCGATCTGCCGTTTGAGCCATTTGACCTCCCGGGTCATGCATATGTAGAGTAGCTCAGGTCAAGCTGAACAAGCTGTACATGCACCAAGAACTCGTCCTCGTACCTTAACCTATACATAAAGTCCGAAGTGATGTCTTCTCGTCAACCATTCCCTCACCCTGAGTTTAACTCCCTCAACCATTTGGTCACGCATTGCGTGACAAGTGCGGAACTTATGCGTGAACAGGACGCGAACAGTGCGCAAACTAGGCTTCACGCTTTCATACGTACCATCTAAATTACACGCATTGCCACGACGAATTGCGCGGCACTGCGGATGCAACATTCGTGCAAGTGTCAGGGTGGCATATGGCAGCATCGCGACCATCGATATCAGAAAGGGACATTAATTGGAAAAGTTACTGAGTAGGAAGGTTACTGTTAGA